TTTCGGTTAGCTGGGCACAAGGAAATACAACAATTTTTTTATTTACTTTTTTTATTTAATTTTTTGTGAACGTCCATTTTGTTCAGTGTTTAAAAATAAAGTAAAAATAAATTAAGAAAACGTCTACATTTAAACTTTTAGCACCCGGCTAACCAAAAAGCACTTAAGATCTTAAACAACGGCATATTAATTTATTAATATTTATAATATACAAAAGTAGACGAATAGCCACTCTTCAAAAGGGTAAAAATAATCTATATTAAAACAAAACTTGAATACTAATATAGCTTATACAAAAATATTTTTCATGTACTAGAGCAGGGATGGGCAAACTACGGCCCGCGGGCCAACTGTGGCCCGCCGAAAGATTTTATCCGGCCCGCGGATTGAATTTTTATTTGCCGATCAGTGGCAAATATAAACAATATACATCCATTTTCTTGTCTACTATGTTTAAAATTATTTCTGTTTTTCCTTTTTTAACAAAGTACTGATGGCATTTTTACTTTCTCTATTTTTGTTCTACAAAGCATAAATTAATGGAAATAGTTAGCACAGACAGCTTCAATTGGTAAATTGTTGAAAGCAGAAGTTCTTTATAGAATAGCCGTAGATTGGCTCCAACTAGCAAATGTCTTTCTCGAGGAGCCGACTAACGGAATCTAATATAGGTAACTTGTACTTCACATTTGGCAGACTGCGCATTTTACGCTCCAAAGAGCGAACAATCTAACAATCATCTGAAGCAGTTGTTTCTAAATATGCCAAAGTTTTACAAATCATTGCCGAAAGCTAGTTTCCAAAATTTAATATTTCATGCCCAGAAAATCAGTGCTATGTTTGCTTAATCTTATATATGTATGTGAACAAGAGTTTTCAACTATGAACCTTAGAAAAAATCATTTCAGAAGTAGACTAACAGAAAAGCCTTGTTCCTTAAAATAAGCACATCTCACTTCGAACCTTAATATAAGGAACTTTAAAAAATGAAATCGCAATTTCCGTCATCTCACTAAATATTTAAATTAAAACTTGTATATCGCTTTTTTTTAAAAAAATTTGAGGTTTTTACTTGGCCCACCAAAAAAATTTTTCTTGATTTTTGGCCCTCGACCAAAAAAGTTTGCCCATCCCTGTACTAGAGAATCATAGTGTTGAATGCTTTAACCCTTTGGCGCAGAATTTTCATTAGACATATTTTTCAGATTTTTCTTCTTTATTTTGAATTAAATTCGGTCAAAATATTAAATTGAGCATTTTAATAATTTGTGGTTACGAAATATTGTATGTAATTTGAGCGTCAGAAAGACATATATCTATATATATAAAAGGGACACCTGTGTCTCATCTGCGTCCAAGGGTGAATCAATTATTATTTGCTAATAAAAGCGTAATAAATTTTGATTTCCTTTGTTTAATAGAGGACATTACTTAAGTCCACGATATGATTTCGGTTAAATCAGTTATTAAATCATTTTTATTTGAGAGATTACATATTATAAAGAAAAAAAAATATTTATTTAACTTATTTATAGATGTTTTTAAAATACTTAGCTATTAAAAAAAATAATAATTTAACCTTGACTTCTGTCTTATGAACTTCACTGTTCAGTTTAAAATATTAAATTATAATTTTAAAAATCTCAACTTAAAATTATAGTAAATTTGTATAGAGTCATTCATACAAAAACGATTGAAAATACGCTAACAATATTAGGAAGAAAAAAAAGCTTTGCCAACTATGAATAAACAATAAAGTTTTTTTTCCTTTCTTTTTCAAGGTTACGATTAACATTCCATCACAGAAGATAGGAGGGCGGGAAGGATCAAAAGGTCAAAAACAAACACCATTTATCGACATTATACACAACCTGAGGAAAGAAAAAGGAAGAGAAAAAAAAAAACCATCAAGTTGCTCTATCAACAAAACACACATGCTTATTTTTTCTCTACATGTAATAAATAATATTAGGAAAAAGGCAACTCTCAGCAGCTATAGCATAAAGTTTTATTCTCTTTTTGTTGTTGTTTTTATTTATCCCCCCCCCCTCTTCTCCTAACACGTTTGAAGAAAGATGCGAGGGAAGGATTCAAGTTGGTACAATTTGATATCTAAGCCCAAGGTTACCAGATGTTGATGTATGGTACATTGTTTCAATAGCATTTGATAAATATTTATTTTCTAGTGGGCTGTTTGATTAGTCTATGTATTATGTATTTATTCTTAGGAGCTTGCATTTTACCTCCAGATTATAAGAAATAACTTAAGAGGCAATGATGATTGAGTATTTGGGAAACGATTAGTGAAAGCAGTGTTTTGAGCATTTGGTAGCAATTCAAAGCTTTTTTTCCCCTTTTTTTGTATAGAAATAAATAAAAAATTTAAATAAGTCTTGAGGAAGTTTAGAAATTTTAAAAAAACATTTTGTTAAAACCAGATTGAAACTTTATTATTAATGTAATGAGAAGATAAAAACTTAAGGTTAATGTGATGAGAGTGAATTAATTATTCACTGTTGAAGAGAGGAACAAGCCTATTGCCTGCATACCCAAAAAAAGGACGAAGGCTTTTACACAACATTTCACTTAGTATGTAATTTTCTGACATATTTAATGCATAAATATCAGAAAGGGAAGAGAGCAAAAAGAAAGAAAGCAAAATCATCTACAGATATATTTTAAATAATTTGAAACAATGAAATATACTTATATATGAATTTATGTATATTCTGACGTTTAACTGGCTTTTACAAAACATTTCTTTTAAAAACATAAATACGTTTATTTTATAATATTAATTGACATTACATTTTATATTATCATCTATCATTTATTAATAAACAACTTCACAGTTTTGTAAAATTTGAACCTAAGCCAGAAGGAAAGGGAGACTCTTCTTCGTAGAAACCTAACAATGAACTAACAAACTAACTAGCATTTGCGTTACACGAGAGGGGAAACCAAGAAAATCTTCAATGTTTAGCCATAAAAAAAAGGGAGACTCTTTATCTGACTACACAGAATATTTTCAGAATTCAGTGATAAGTGAAAGCCTCATTCGAAAGAGAGCGTTCAAGTCCTTTGATCAGTTAATATAGCTATAATAATATTATTTAATTAGTAATTATTCAATAGCTAATTCGAATATAAAATTCGTTAAAACGTTGTCATTTAACCAATGGAGAGGTTAAAGGCACGTTTACCATCGCAAACTAAAAAAAAAAAAAACAATTTACAAAATAAAAATAAAAATTTTAAAAAAAACTAGAAAATTAACTTTTATTTGTTTTATTAATTTATTTTATTAATAATTATTATTCTTTAAGTTTGACTTTTTTTCACTTTAGAGAGTTAATTACATTCTTATTGCTATTGATTAGAAGATTTAAAAAACTTTTAATTGCTTAAAACTATAGCTGTATTATTGAATATCGAAAAATTGAAGAAAAACAATAAATAATGGATATAAGTTTTCTTACACTTTTATTTGTACTTGTACAATTAATGTAGCATTGTTTAAATGGCTTTAATTCCAATTTTAAATTAATCTCCTGTCATTAGTGATAAATTTATTTGCTCATGGCAAATCAATTTTCAAATAATTTATTATACATTTTTTTAATTTAACTAAGAATTCATTTAAAAGAGGGTACTTTGTTTTCTTAAAATGTAAAAAATAAATAAATAAATAATTTTTTAATATTTTTGCTTTTTACTTTATTATTTTATAACTTTCGGTAACACAAAATTTTATTGATTTTTCTGGCAAATTTCATTTTATTTCAAATAACAGAAGATAAAGACTTAAATGGAATGACATGTTCAAGATTTTTTACACTAAAAGTGGCACTTGAGATGCTCCTTATTGGCCATCTCTGGTCTAAAATATTTTGACACAGTCATCAAAAAATTACAATAAGCATGATATTAAATAACCAGCAAAAGTGAGGTGTCCAAATAATTTAAAAAAATTATTAACGGCAATTTCTAAGTTACAAAATAGTTGATTCTTTAATCCTTCACAAGAAGACAAGCGTACTTTATAAAATTAAAAAACTGAGGCACCTGAATATTATTATTATTGTCTCTTGTGGCCAATACGTCTAAGGCTAATTAAATACTCTATAGTTTTAGCATCATTTCTTAATGTTTTTAAAATACCACCGCTTATAAGTTTTATACATAATATCAATCCTTTATATAGTCATATTTTATTCTCCATATTCTTTTTAACTGTTATTTTTTAAACATGGCAACATTGATTTTTATTGTAATTTTGTTTGCCGTTGTTCTTCATAGTGGCATTCACAATCGTATGCTAATAAGAAAACTTTAAAGGGGAAAATATTTTTATTTAATTTGAAGTTTGGTAATTTTTTATAGCAACACATACACTCACCAAAAAAAGAATTGTTTAAGCGGAAAATGGAATTTTTTTTATGAAGAAATTATGCGAAATAATAAGATCCCGAAAAAACAGGAAAATTTCTTTAAAAAGATTATCCACGTTTCAGCAAAAAAAACAACAAAAAAAATCGTGTGATGAAAATAATAAGGATGAAAAAGTAGTACATTATTATACAGAACAGTGACAAGAAAAAGAAGAAACTTCATTTATAAAGCACTATACTTTGCTGCAAAAGAAAAAAAAAAAGAAGAAAAAAAACTTTTTTTTTTGTGCTTTAAAAAGTATTTTTTTTATCGACTCTACAGTTAATAAGTTGTACTAATTGAAAAATATGGCGTGCTCCACATAACTACTAAAATATTTTACTCGTAAAACTAATTCTTCATATTGCACAGTCAGCTTTGAATATTAGTAATAAATGTGAAGCATAAATGGGAGTAACAAACCACAATATTAGAAAAATTCATGACACAGAAGAATAACTTGTATTGAGGAAACATTTAATAAGCTCAGTTTGTTCTCTGAATAACAACCCCTAAGTTAATATAATTCATGGCTGTGACCTTATACAAAAAGAGAGGAAACCCCCTACCTGACATGTGAAGTGAGTCATCCGGTCCCTCAAGGGACCATCTACCCCCAGGCGGGCGCACTCTTCTAAGCTAATGTAAACCGATGTACCACCCTGCTCCAGCAAAGTACGGACGGCTTCATGAATCAACTGCCGGTGTTCGGACTGGCGGACGCCGATTGCGTCGAGGTCCGGTTCGCCGATTTGTTTACACATTTCCAAATCATCGTAACCGTTATCCACGAAGCTTTCATAGTAAAGTTCGAGGTCCAGGTATTTTAGCCATTCTCGAACAATATTCTGGTCACTCATTACCGCAATAATTCCGCATGTTCAATCCGTGATCGTAATCTCAAAAGTAAAATATTTCCCAGTAAGTGGTGGTCGGAAAAACAGATATTTATACTTGTAAACGATCATAATGTATTTATATTAAACATTTATTATACACTCTTTTTCCTTTGTAGAAAATACACACACACTTTACTAAGTAATAAAAAAGAAAATGTTTTTTTTTTCAATAAAGAAAAAGAGAAGCGATGCTGGAAAGTTTAGAACAAGATGAACCTACGCCTCACGCCGAAGATTGCTATACCTCATCTGCAAGGGAACCTCGTTGAAAAGGTTTCGTTTCCTATGGCAACAAGCAAATCGCGCGCCTGCGCAGTTGTGTTGTTTCGGTTTGTTTTGGTTTTGTGAAGGCGCGCTTTGAGAGTTGGGGTGAAAACAATTAATTCTATTTTTCTTCCATTCAATCCAATACTGTGGTGGAGTGAAATTTATCTAATAAATAGATTTATCCATAATATTACCCCGAAATTTTTTAAACACGTATTAGATTGTGCTTGTTTTAAAACATGTTTGCTCTGATTTTGCAGAATAATTTTAAAATTAAAAAAGCTTAATTTAAAAAGGAGGAAAGAACAAAACCCTAAAATTGAAAAGAATTTTTACTTGAATTTTTTAAAGCTGTAATTTAGTTATGTTGTGAATGTTTATTTCTTTAATGAAAATAAAATGAAATTATGTACTGTAAGGCAATAATTTTATAGTATCAATTTGTGACACTTTTTAAATTTTTATTATTTTTGACATATATTTAATTGGGAAACAAATATAACGTGATATAGATCATTATATTTTAATTTTGGGAAAATAATCCTTAAAAGTAACTTATTCGTAAGGAAATTAAACAAATTTTTGATTTTAAAGTTTTGTAGAGCATCATAGATAATTTAAATTTTTTTAAAGTGTAACTCTTTACGTTTGATCAAATCATGCTATTACATTTAGAGCACACAAGAAAATTATGTGAGTAAGCATGTCATGTGTGATCTTACAAAAATCAGATTTAAAGAAATACGAAAAAAATGTGAATAAAATAACATAAACGGATATGTTCTAATTGACTTTGCATTTCTATTAATAACATATAAAATATCTACAAAGGAATAATTACCCTACCAGGATTTTCAAAATTCTGAAAATATTGGAAAACAAAAAAAAGAATATTTTATTTTTTATTTTTATTATTAAGTTTGTTAGCTAAAGTCTTCCAAAAATTTCAGTAAGAATCTTCATTATCTTTCTACAAAATTTGCCATTAATACGATTCGTACTTTTATGGAAATATTATAGCACTCAATCGTAGCTTATTTTCGGGAAGATATTTTAGCATTCATAACTTGATTCACAGTGGTGCAGGGGATAGAGCGCTCTCCTCCTAACGAGGTAACCCAGGTTCTAATCCTAGCGGTGACTGGTTGATACGAATTCTACTCTCGGCTAGCACCGATCACAGTGATGATGTAAAATATCCTCAGTGGTAAACGGATCATGGACTACAGCTCCTTGTCGTCAGGCTAACCGTGAGTGGTTTTCATGGTTTCCCTTTCCATGTAACACAAATGCGGACTAGTTCCATCAAAAAGTCCTCCTCGAAAGCTAGTTTGTCCGAATACTTGATTCAGCACTTTCCTTGTTTTCTGGGTAGGGTTTAAAATTACAAGGCTACAGAGTTGAACATTGATAGTCGCTGACTCAGAATTGGATCAACTGGTTCAACGGCGGTTGTAAAATAAATTTAAAACATTCAAAACTTATATATAGGATTTTTTAATCGAAAATAAGTAAACAGTGAATAGTTCAAAGTTGATGCCTGGAGAGCCTGGTTGGTAGGGGCACTGGGCCCATGTCCCACGTTAAATCTGTCGAGTCGCAAAGTCCTCCATGCTCCCATAGCAAATCAATACCTCTGGGGGTACTTATCCAGGAGTTTCCTTGTCTTCTGGATTGGTTCTAAAATTACAAGGCTACGGAGTTGGACATTAGTAGTCGTGAATCCAAAATTGGGTCGGCTGCTCAACGACGGTTATAAAATAAAATAAAATAGTTCGTACTTAATATTAGTTAGACCTGATTTTACTCCTCACAAATATCAGCTATGAAAGAAATGCTTTTACTACCATTTTCCTTGTTTCCGTCTTATTTCAGCTTTGAGCAAGATTCATGGACTTTAAAGAAATGATCTTTTACCGATTATATTCAATTCAATTTTGTTTTACACTTTTATCGAACCAGTTTAGTTTTTAGAGTATTTTACAATAATTGAAGGCTCAACACTGTCTATGCTCTTCTACTTCCATCAAGGGCGAAGGCAGTGGGGTGCAAGAGGGTGCACTTGCACACCCTGGGTTTTTTTTGTTAAAAAATAATAAATAAATAAAGAGATACAGAAAAAAAATTTTGTTACAAAAAAATTTTTTTATTAAAAATATTTTTATTCAAAAACAAATAATTAAGTAATTATTGATACATAACAATTAAAAAATTGTTTAATCAAACAAGAATTGTAATCGTCTTGTTCGCTGTCCAAATCCGTTTATAACTTTTTCAATGAATTCTGAGTCATCTTTGATTCTTTTCTTATGCACACTGAGCATGCACAAACTTGCCACGCTATATATAATATCTAAGCTATATTTTTAAATTTCATTTAATAAGATATAAATAATACTATATTTTCCATGAGTTATTTAGTTTAACCAAGGTGTATAACACAAACTGATTTCTCACTACTGTAAAACTTCATCAACACAATAAATAACAATGTTAAGCGTGCACAAACACGTTAGTGTACGAAACTACTGTTTGTAGTTATTTATGTTTCAAAGTCAGTAGCTATGCCAGCGCCATCAATACAGTTTCTCGTGGCCAAATTTGCAAGTACAAGAAATTCGTACTTTTTTTTAAATATCTTGTTAACAATGAAGAAATGTATCTTGAAAAAAATTAAGAGATGAAAGTATATATAATAACAAAACAAAATGTAATAACAGAATATTTAAAAAAAAAAAAAATTTTTTTTTTTTTGGGGGGGGGGGTAGTTTGTTAGAGGGTTGCACCCCCTTTTATATTATTCTGCCGGCGCCCTTGACTTCCATGATTACTTTGTAATCAACTTCGTTCAATCATCTTATTATTATTCAAAATTTGAGCGAAAAAACTCTGTTCCAGTTCTATAAGTTATTTATCTTAGTTTAATAAAAGAAGACCGCATATTTCACTTTTTAAAAGATATTGTGATATTGAATGATTGGTTCTTTTTCTTTATTATAACAAGTTTGTAATGAATAAAAAATATAAGAAGAACGAAAATCAAACATTAAACCTAAAATTCAAGATGGCGAGAAAAAAGGGCACTTACTTAAGCACCAGTATTATTATTATCGTTCGCTCTCTCTTTCTACTTTTGATTAACATCTACAAGAGCGCCAGTATATGAAATAAAGATCTCGTAAGGGATAAGTAACGTTTCTACAACAATTAGAAAAATTATTGTACAAAATTGTAATTTTCTACAAAATATAACTCTTGTTAAAATTGTGATACGAGATAGTTCTTTAAATATATTTCAAATTTTAACTCTGTAGTTGCATTTCAGCGGATAGTAGACCGATCATAATTTTTTTTTTTTTTTCCTTTACAAGCTATTTGAATTAATTGTTAAATTTGAAATTCTATACATAACTTCGTAAATTCAATTTTCTAAGCCTTGCAGATTTTGAGCAGGTAAGCAAAATGTAACTTTTAGTTATTGGGGGAAAAAAAAGTTGAAAAATTCGCAAACAAGCACTTAGAATTGTAATGATTTTTAAACAAATTGGAAATTTAAAAAAAAAAAAAATAAATAATCTGTGATAAATTGCTGAACAAATGTAGCTTTGTTGAGTACACCGAATTTCAACTCTGTAGTTGCACTTCTAAAACTTGTGTGGTATTTTTTCCACCAAGTTTAACAGTTTATATACCTCGAACGAATTATCGAATATTGATTTTTTTATTCTAGTCCATTGTAATCCCTGTATATTTTTTTACACATTTTAGTACCTTCGAGTTTCTAAGTCTTATAGTTTTTGCGCAGCGAAAGAAAATATAACGATGAGTTAGCGTCGGCGACCGCTCTTACGATTTCTTAATACAGAGAGATAATTACCGAACTCTCGTTAATTAAAGCGATCAATACCGGTGAAATATCGACTCCGCGAATGTTGAGCTCTCACTGCCTCTGAATCGTTTTCATCTTGCGAAAATAAGCCAAAATAATGCATATTTATTTTAGCTTTTCAAACAAAAATTTATTCGTTGAAAAACATTAAAATATCAGTTCTCCTTCACAAAGAGCTAGGGTTAAAGAAATATACTCTCAAAAATTTTATGTGCTATGTCGAGTAACATATAAACTATTAAGTTCATTGACTCAAATTCACTAAAATGTCGCTTACCTGTTTCTTCCACTGAGCTCTTCCAATCTATTCATTTATTGTGGTCAATTTTTGCGTTTAGAAAATTATAAATTCTAATTATTTTTATAAATGAGAAATTGATATATTTCTCTTATATCTCGTAACATGAAATTTTAATTCTTGCATACTAAAATACTTGCATGATTTTGCAATACTGTATATGTTGTCGAAACAGAAAATGATTTGACCAACCCTTTATGATTTTGCAATATTGCATCTGGAGCTATTGGAAAATATATCTCCCAACTTCGAAAGCATAATTTATTTTTTTTTTATCAATTAATAAGCTGTTAGCGAAATTTATTTTTATTATAACAGATTTATAAATTCCCAAGATATATAGATACTAACAAGCAATTTCTAGTAATTCTACTTCCACTGGCCGTTTGGACTGCTTAGGCAGAATTTGTGCCTGATGGACAAGGCTACATGCTCTATTCCCTCTTCAACCTCATTATCATTCTTTCAAATTTTATTTCTAAATTTAGCTATTATTTTTAGAAATATTAATCTTTTCTCAAAGTTTTCAACAGACCACAGTTTACGAATCCTTGCTCCATATCATACTGTGCCACAATTATATCATTTAGAAACATTTTCGATTTAGCTCAGATCACATAAAAAGCATCTAGCTCATTTAAATTTATTTTTTGTCATAAAAATTAGATTTATATTTCACAGTAACTGATTCCTTCTTTAACGCAGTTAACTTTTAATTTAAAAAATTTCTAAACCAGGAAGACTATTCTCACTAAAAAACTATTCTCACAGCTTTAGATATTTAAGAAAAACTGTTCTTTTTATCAATGCTTTTGTCGACAAGTAATATTGAAAAGAAAATTCAGCTTCTGTCCAATTTATGCACTAAACATCCTTCCATAGCTGCAACATGGATAGGAAAAAATCCAGATTTTAAGAAATATAAATTTCATGACAATTGTTGCATGATGTTCTAAATATTTTACATATACAGAATTTTACAGTCACCAAAGTACTAAAACTGCGATATTTTCCAGTTATTATTGACATTAAATGAACTTGATATTTCATGCTTTATATTTACTCATAATTTTGAATAGTAATAGGCATATAATTCATCAAAGATAGTTGAAAGATTTTTTAATTAATTAAAAAAGGGAGTTCTGAATAAAAGTTAATGAACATTTTAGAACAAAAAAGTTTTAAACTGATTTCTATAAAAGAGGCTAGCTTTATTATGTATTAGTAATACTTATTTAAGTATTCAAGCAAGCAATTAGTCTATACAAAAATTCGATTTAAATGGGGATTTTTTTTAGGAACAATTTTAGGGAATTTTCTAAAATATACAAAAACCAGGAGAATTTTTATTAAACCAGTAGACGACCAAAAGATACTGGCAAAATCCAGTAGATTTGGCAGCCATGCAGCCTTTCATCTCATCTTATACACTTTGAGTTTTCAAATTTGTGTTTCAATTTCAATTGAACAAAAAATGTTTCATGCATTGTACCATATGCCGAATTTCAGTTAGGTAATTAACAATTCTAAATTGTTTGTTTCGGACCTAAAAACATTTGATAAAAATTGTTTAATTTCAATTTTAAATGAGTAAGAAAATATCGAAATGATAAATTTGCAGACCAGTGACATTTTTAAAGAAAAGCATAATCACTGGAACTTTATGGGTCTTACACTAATTCACATTGATTAGTTGCAAAAATTTGCTAGTGTCCTTCATTTCTGCTTACGCGAGTAAATTTTTTTTTTTAGAGACAACACGTTCTCTAAATAAAAAATATTTATAGATCCAAATCAACTGACAAGCATTTATTAAAGTGCCTGCTGATAATGGCCAAAAGTTGATCCAACTACGAATTGTCAGTACAAAGTTAGGTCTACATAAATATAATTTTAATTATGTTCTATTTCATTATGTTTGTCACATATTTTATTGTAAGTTTTTAGGATTAATTTCAAAACAATAATTACATGTTAAATTATGACATTGTTGTTCTTTTACTAAATATCATTTTGTAAGCTTTACTCTCTTTGTAAATTTTAAAATACAAGTAGCCAAAATAAACAGGCATGCCTAATACTGGTCGAGATAAGACCAAATATTTTACTCTACTTGTTGCAATTAAAAATTAAGATTAATTTTGATTGGACATTTATTATAAAGAGCATTCTGCATTTGTTCAGTTTTCATAGATATTTATATATATATATATATATTAAAATAAAAAAAGACACATTTATTTATTAAGGAGAAGAACTGTTACTTTAACAGGAAAAATAAGGGGTAAATAGAAGTTTTAAAAATCACCAACATTCAGCTGGTTAATGATAAAAAAAGATTATCTAATTATACAAAATTAAAAACTTCCAACTTTTGCAATGAAAATTATTATTCCTATTAAGTAAATTTTAAGTATAATTTAAAATAAAATGAAACAAATCTGAGAAACACTCTACATAAACAATTGCCTAACACAACATGACACAAAACACTCATCATTACAGGACAAATTTTATTTTATCTTTTTGACACTACATTGCAATTTATTATTACTTATATTAACAGTCCTACTATTGTGAAAAATACAGTGCAGCTGATTGTTCAATTATCAAACCAAAAATATGGGAGAAAAATATAAAGTCAAAACAATTTTAACAGACGTTCAAACAAACAAAAAACAATTTTTAATAATAAACCAAACAAATATAAGAAATGTTGAACAAGTAAAATAAACATAAGAAACAATAAACAAGTTAAATCAATCATTTTTCACATTACTTCCTCTAAAATCATTCCTGGTAAAGGCGAGAAATTTTGGAAAAATCTAATTTAAAATGAAAACAATCATTTTCAAACAGATTGAGTGAATATCAATGAATCTTCTAGTCTCAACAATTTAATACTTAAAATTCAAGTTAGCCACAAATCCTAGAATTTTTTTCCTTTAACATTGTTTCTAATATGTATTATGTTTCTTTTTTTTTTTCTAATGGAAAAATGTAAATAAATTCTTTCTTTGCAATATGTCAGCATTTTGTATTAAAACAAGCATTCTCAAAACATTCAATTTTTAACTAAAACTCTAATCCCAATTATATAACAATTCCTATATCAAAGTAGTACAAACAAAATTAAAAAAATTTTGTTCACTAACAAACACAATTTATAATTAAAAAGATATTTTAAATTACACAACATGAATCCAACAGAATTTAATATAATTAGTTATGACTTAGTAGACAGAAGAAAAAACACTATTCAAATATATTTAAGCAAATAGAAAAAGAAATGTAATTTATAATAACAGATAGTTACGCATATTTCTTCAACAGAAGAGAAATATATATAAAATTATATGTTAACAATAAAATTTATAAAAATTAGGTATTAAATAAAGGATATGCTGCAATGACATAGATTGAAACATGTAATAAATTTGTAAGCTACATTATGTACAATTCATAAAACTTTAATCATACATTCCAAATAATTTAATTTCAACATGCCTTGCGTAAATTTTTATTTATTTATTTTACACAAATTTGGAAGCTCAATTAAAAGATGTTGTATAGTAAAAATTTCTTAAACAGACCAATGATAATTTAATCAAATGTCTTGCGTTTAAGCTAAATAATTACACTACTGTTATTTATTAGTTTATTATTTTTAAAAAAAGGGATGAATTTAATTTTTAAAAATATTGAATGCTAAGCCAGGTGTTATTGATGCAGAAACTTACATAAAAAGACTTCAATTACATTTAATATTACAGACTCATATAAGACATATCTTTCCAACAATAAGCTAGGGACGAATATGATGATGGTAATTTACAAATGTTTACAAAGGTATATCAATTATTTGTCTCCAACTTCTTCCATTTTCTCTTTCAATTGACGTTCAAAAACTTTTTTTACATCACAGAAACCTTGGCGTGTTTTTCCAAATGAATTTGGACCAGCAGAAGTTGGGGTATCCCTAAAATGAAATTTAATAACAATTAAAAAGGCAGAGATAATCTTCCAGTGAAGCTTTGATAGCTCAAAGAGTCAGTAAAATAACGAAAAAACATTTAAAAATTAATTTTAAGATATTTGCATGAAAATTAGCAAGATAACAAAAATAGTAATTTTCTCCTTTTCCTTTAAAAATTTTCAAAAGACTACTAATGCGGTTGTCAATACTAAACGTGGTAGCAACTTCTTTCTGTTGCTCTTCTTTAAGGTTGTAATATATATACAGATGGACTTCTATTTAACGAACTTCCATTTTGCGAATTTTTTTTCGAGGAACCGAGAATATTTTGGAAATTTCCCCGTAAAATAACTTCCAAATAGCGAAGTGAATTTTCTATTTAACGAAATTTTCTTTGAGATCCACTTTCCCTATTTAACAAAATACTTCAGAACATTTCAAACTTGATAACGCATTTTATGGGGGAAATGAACACGAATTGATTTTCGAAGATACTTAAGTTTTAGAGTAAGCAGTAAAATTCCTTTCTCTTTTTGTTTGCATTTCAAACGAAAAACTCAGACAAAATAAACGAATTTTATCAGAAGGAATTAAACTTAAAAACGCATGTTGTAATGTATGCTTAAAATTACTTTAGCTATAATTTTATACGTAAATTTAGCTCTTTTTAGTTGAAAATGTATGTAGCATGGTATGTACTGGATAATATTTTGCTCTGTTCTTGCTATGCAGAACTCTTTGCAGATTTCTTTTATGGCTAATATTTATAAAATAAATAGTAGATACTAGTTAACAAGATAAAGGTGTATCGATTGTTATTTTAATTATGTCTAGTGTTTATAAATTTAAAACTTGTTTTGTGTTGCAAAAAGGAGAATTTAGATAATTTTGTAAAAAGGAGAATTTAGATAAAGAAATAACTTAAAAAGATTAATTGAAGCTTTTTATGTTACATATACATAGTTACACACACTTATAACCATGGATGAGGGTAGTCAGAAAGTAAAAAAGAGGAAATCCAAGAAGATATAATATATATATATATATATATATCNCCCCTCGCAATACAAAAAAAGTGCAATTTTTTAACTTGTAAACCATGTGATTATAAATCCCGATATGAGGCTTTTAAATCACGTAAATATGAAACTCTACGTCGAATTTAAAAAAATGCGAAAATACAAATCATAATGCATAATTTCTAGATCACGATACATAATTTTTAAATCGCGTGATATTACAACCGCAAAAACGAATCACGACATTGGATTTTAAGCTCGCATGAATATGAATTGCTACATTGGGTTTTTTAAATCTCGGAAATAAGAATCGCAATGAACAATATTTAAATCGCCTAATTAGAATCGCAACGTCCAACTGTTAAATCAGGCAAATACAAAAATCGATGTTTGATAATAAAATCATGATTTTAAAAATGCATAAATACAAAACACGATATTGGATTTTTAAATCTCGTAAATAAGATTCATAATGAAAGGTATTTAAATAGCGTAAATAAGAATCGCAATGCGCAACTTTTAAATCGGGTAAATGCGAAAATCGATGATTGATATTAAAATTGCGTGAATAAAAATCGAGATATTTGCAGAGTCTGGACTTGGGATTTCTAAAAGGCTTGTTTGTATTGTTTTTGTTTAGACATAATAAATAAAAATTTACAAGATTAACTGAAGAGCAAATAAATATTTTCACCGCAAATCCCTCTATTTTTGTTTGTTTTCACGCCAGAATACAAGAAGCAGAGACGTCTGAATTACGAAAATACGAGCTATCCTGCCGACGGATAAAAAATACGGAAAATCTTATTTTCTGTGTGTGAAATCGGAGAAAATAGCTAATATAAGTAAAAATGCGGAAGGGTTAGCAGCTAGGACGTAGTTTGACTTTTCTGTTTATCTTTGAAAATCGTAAATAAATATAACTATTTTGTTTCAACGACTGAATTTTTTTTAAAAAGCGGGATATTTATAAAGAAAAAAAAATCGAAACTTTTAGAGAATCAGAGTTTTTGATAAAAAGGTTGAAATTCGAGAGACAAAAAAAATCTCATCCCTGTGTAAAGGCCAACCAGTTTTATCCCAAGGAAATGATTTTTAGAGAAACTTCAGAGGGAGGAATAACGACTTCAATAATTTCGCTCCGTGGAAAATTAAATTCCTCATAAAATATTTTAACTTTTGCAAAAAAAAATTTCAGTGGAAATTAGCGGGAAAAATGGAAAAATCTGGAGAAAAAAAAAAGCGGAAATCCACAGAAGAATCTCATCCCTGTATAACAGAGTTTTAATGATTCAGCATCATTATAAACAGAACAGCCCAGGTTGGGCCTTGCTTTCTATAGAACCCCCCCCCCCATTCTAGAAAAGGCAAAGTACTCTTCATGCAATTCTCTTTATCAGATCTTACCCATTCATTTACACTTAGAAATTTTACATTTTGGGCTAGCTGTACATAAATGACTAATTTGCCCAGCAAATATTCTGATTTTTATGATTGAAGAACAAATTTCAGTTATAAAATGAGCAATGAAAAAAAAAAATTCTGCACAGAATATTTTTTAATTTTACTTTGATTTATTGAAAAAAATAATAATATTTGTTCGAGTGATAGAAGTTAATATATTACCTAAAATAATTTATAAAAAAACTGTCTCATAAAATGAAATACAAGTTTTTTTTTGAATAATGCATATTTTATAATAATTCATCCACATTTCTCATTTTTTAACTATTTTGAATTTAACAAGGCAGAACTGGAACTATTGATTAACAGCAAACCACTACAACAGTCTTCATACATTCAAGTTCTAGAAGAAACTAGTTTTTGATATAAATTCTAGGATAATAAGATAACCTGATACATAATAGTCAAGTTCTGCTCTAATCCAGCATTAATTGCTTGGACTAAGAAAATTAAAGCAAAAATACTACTAAAAAAATTGTAACCAGTTCTAAAATATGAAATTTCAACGAAAGAAATAATAATTTAGTTACAGTGAATTTATATACGGTGAAAGAAAATAAAGGTAAGAGAAAAAAATTACATGTTAAGACAAAAAACAGTTATGATTCATTGATCAGGGATGAGATTAGCCAAAACGCAAAAAAGCTGAATTTCCACGATAGTAAATTTTACGCAAGCGCAACCCTTTAATAACAAATTCCAGAAAGATTAAGGTAATAAATGATGTGTTGACATACAATTGTGTACTAATCTATTATTATAAAAACGATTACATTGATACTTAACATTTAGTGAGAAAAAAATTACCAATTGAAAAAATAAAGCTAGAAATTATATTTTTCCTCAATTCACATAAGAGACAATTATTACTTGAAAAACTACCTGGTTTAGCAAATTAAAACTACTGAGAATATACATTAATATTTCATTTCTTTTAATAAATACTGTTATGTGATTTATAGCAAATATATAAGTAATAT